ATACAATACAATACAATACAATACAATACAATACAATACAATACAATACAATACAATACAATACAATACAATACAATACAATACAATACAATACAATACAATACAATACAATACAATACAATACAATACAATACAATACAATACAATACAATACAATACAATACAATACAATACAATACAATACAATACAATACAATACAATACAATACAATACAATACAATACAATACAATACAATACAATACAATACAATACAATACAATACAATACAATACAATACAATACAATACAATACAATACAATACAATACAATACAATACAATACAATACAATACAATACAATACAATACAATACAATACAATACAATACAATACAATACAATAACAATACAATACAATACAATACAATATTTCAATCTCGTAACTTAGTGACGTATTCGTCCGCCAAAAGTGCACACTTTGTGTATGGAAATTTCCGTTGCCTCGACTAACTTGACTTGTTAATGAAATCGTTCTACTCACCAGTTTGTCCAAATTCTGTGATTTCATTTCATTTCATTTACAGGGCAACAGAAAAACTGTGGAGAAGTTGACAAACCATTTATTGGTAAATACTTCGTGAACACGTTAAACCAAAGCGAGTTGAGGATTAAGTCAACAGGATTTTGTCATGCCATTTTATTATTTTGAAGTCTGATTGTTTAAGTACACTAACTGATTCAATACGATCCACAGATAGGTTGATGCACGAAATCGGGTCGATAACAATGTTCAATAGTAACTGATCTTGTTTCCACCATAGCTAACTCTAGAAGCAGCGGTGTATTTTTGTATCTTGACGCAGTCGTTTTATGCTCTAAATCTCCATCGTGAACAATTTGCACAAATATCATAGGAGAGGCCTAAGCTGTTGTCGCTGTGAGGAACAGGCATCAAACTTATTGGACGTACAGTAGGATACCAATTGATTTGGTAAAATATTAAGAGAGTTGTAACTACCCGATGACAAACTCAGGAAGTCCACAGATAACGTTGAAGTTACAATTGCTTTTCATTTATCATAGTCTGTTACCTGATTATAATAAATTTGTTTCCGCATGAGGTTTCATGGACTGATGGTCAAATATGGGGAGTGAGGCTGTCTTCCACAATGTACTTCCGCAGTGATGTAGATGGATTGAGCAGAAAGCACTGCGATGCATGACAAATTTTCCCTATTAGAGGAGTAAAGCATGTCTTGGCGAATCCACACAGTTGGCCATGACATTAAAACCAAGTAAGGCCCTCCAGCTTGTGAATAACGCCCAGCATCTTGGAGAAAATATAATAAGATGTCCGTGTGGGTATCTCCACTTAGATTTTTCAAACATCCTTACATTATCAACATGTGATTATACTCACCCGACTGATTACCCTGCAAGGACTTGAACACAAATTTCCGAACAGAGGAGTCGCATGAATAAACCTCGCTCTTATTGATTTGGCTAGATTCATCGAATTATTGGATACGATAACCGTTAAAACATAAGCTTTATTGAAGTAGAACTGTGAATAAAGAATGCAACCTTAATTTTCTTCTACAGCTGGGTTGTCATCAAAAACCGCTCGACTTCTTGATTATACAAATTGATGATCAAGAGATGAGGACCGAAGTTGAAGGCGCAAAGAACCCGCGACACCACTTTTGGTTGTCTGATGAACACGGTGATGTTTTTTGCTACTTCGGTTGGGTTTTGTTGTTACGAGTTCAAAGAATAATTGGAAAACCTCTTTTACTGGGTAACCGAAATGACTCGGCTGCAAATCATTCATCACCATGAGTGGACTGTGGGTGGAAAGCGAGGTAAACCTGAATGTTCTCTATATTCTCTGCGTCACGTCTGCAGGACGAGCAGCTCATGTGGGTTGTGAAGAGGAAATGTCTCCCCAGGGAAATTCTACTCCTGATGTTAGGCTGAGCAAAAAAACCAGTTCATTTGTAAAAGGTGAACATGTCGATCACTATGTGTGTTACAGCTGCAGTCAAACGACTGGTTGCACAAGCTAATTCATTTTAATGAGCCAATAAGAGAATAGCACACATCCCCGAGTGAAATAAAACCACATCTATACAATGAATATTGTTGGCAAGTTCACTGTAAACTTATAAGATTTTGTGTTGAGTGAACTGGCTATTGATTAGCTGGACTCAAATGGTCGTATAATCAGGTTGTCTAGTATCACATTTAGGCCACTGGATTTGGGACCGGTGTTTCAGACAGAGTTGATTCCATCTTTTACCAAAAATAGTATACCCATCCCAACGCCGTAGAATTAGAAAACTGATACTACGCAAAAGCATTTACACTATTTTTGAGGTAAAACTCAAGATGATATAAAATATAGGCAGCAAATGAAACAAATTAAGAGCTACTCATACATTTATTTATGCACTGATTCTTTCCTTTCCATCATTTGTTCAGCCATTCGTTTAATGAGTCATGCAAATGTATACACAGCTTTCATCCATCTATCTATTTATTTATTTATTTATTTAATTTATTTATTTATTAATTTAATTTATTTATTCGTCCAGCTGGCCATGTTCTCATGTTCTGTCACCGCTTGCGTTGCTCAGCTGGGTATCACGAACATCACGTAGCAAATTAATAAACATGTGCACATATCTATTCGTTGGTCTAGTTTTTCCTCTTTCTTTCGTTACGTTGCAAATGTATTCATTCACATATGACCAGGTATTCCTTGGGAAAATGAATAAGTACATCGACGCCTTCATTAGTAATCTGTTTTAGGGAATTCCGCTTATTTTAATTCATTCTCCTAGAAGCCTGTCAGGATGTCAACTATGCCACTGCACCGCTGTACATGAAGAAGGCAGGACATGTTCACTTGATGGACGACGCTGCTCGAAAGGTGACTGAAGTCACTTCGACAGCCAGTGACCGATTTCTTCCAACTTGAGACTCATTGGGTAGACGCGATCCCCGAGTTGCTGTTAAACTTAAGCTCTAAGCGATCACTAAGTTGTTTGCAACTGGCGAAATACATGGGTTTTAAAATTATGTTGGTGTTGATGGGAGCGAGTGCCCCAGCTGGATCTCCCATCTATGATACGCTTCAACTGAATGAGCGATTCAACTAAAATTCAGTTTGGAATCCCTTAAAACCATATTAGTTTGCAACTGGGCATATTTGCGTGTCTTCTGGAAAATACTAGTGTAAAACGACGCAGATAATACGCGTAGCTTGCCAGTTTGCATCATACACTGGGTTGAGCCAGTTCACAATGAGGAGAGTAACCAACGGGTTCAATTTGTTGTGATGGTTCGAAATAGTTTTTCCCTTAGAATGCTTATTTGTGACTAACAACTGGGGAGTACAGCCATAGTAGCTTCGTGTTCGACGAATTTATAAAAATGAAACTTCACAATATCTACGTGGCTGATAAGGTTGGAGCCCCCATCCAATTAGAGGTTGTGTGCACGGTGGTACTAAGCAGAGACTTGTTTAAAAAATTGTTTGAAAAAGATATTTTAAATGGTATCTGATGTTTGCCTGTGATAAAGGCGATAGACCTAAAGAAGGGCTATGGGGTTTACCTTTTAATTGGCTAAGCAAAGGATTCAGAATACCCCTTGAACAGTGAATTTCGGAATTGGCCTGTCTCACTGAACTACATTTATGGTCGTAGCGCTTAATGAATAATGTCAAATGCAGTTTGGGCCAGCTGCATGCGCACCTACCTAAACCCTCTATATCCAGCCTAAACCAGATGAATTAAGACCAGCCGGTGAATGGCAGGTGGTAGTTCTGATGCCATCAGCATCAGCTGGTGGACAATAATTGCCAGTTCCAGTAGGTCAGGACCGTGGACACAATGAATCATTGATATCTATAACGAACGGAAAGGGGTTCCGGTAGCCCGTACCACATACATATGACATCCGGGGAATACGCATATGATCAGCTAGTGTTAGGCGTTATTCAGCTTGGTCTGTAATAGAAAGTCACTTTTAACACCCCTGCTCAAACAGAAAAGAAGTACTAATCCAACGGTGTCCGTTTGGAGTAGACTGGTGGCCTTATCGCTTATGAGCCGAAATTCCCTGTGGCAACCTGTAGTTAGTCATGATCTTCCTCCATTCCGCTCACACGATGGTGATCAATGAAACAAAGCGAGCATCAATGAACCTCCACCTGAATTTTTCAGTGTGTCAAAATACCGATTGCATTCTGTTCCGAGGCTTTCTGATCATGTTCTTGGACAGCAAATTTATCAGGCGACAGTGGTTTTACACACGATCTTAACTTAATGGAATTTAGCGAAGCCGCAAAATATAGTTTCATTAGAAGTCGAACAAGGTGCACTGTGTTTTATTAAGGGTACTCAATAAGTTCTACTGAATGAATCAGCAGCTCAAAAATGAAGAACGGTGGAAGAGAGAACAAGTGAAAATCAGCAGTGAAGATAACCGAAAAGGGGATTATGTACAGCTGTACTTGGAAGCCAATAACTCTTTTCCGTATGTATGAAGCGGTACGTGTATTTGTCCGTGTCTGTTTTTGATCACCCGGTCGCAGTGGTGAAGATGGAGACGAGATGAATGGTTGCCTGCCTATCACGAGGAACAAATGAGTATGTAATGTCAGAACAGCGGTATTCCGTTGTATGCGTGGGAAAACAGGGAGTTGTACGTACTTTACATCACCGCGAGTCGATACGCGAATAGTTGTACCATGCCCGGATGTATCCACGTTTCGTGGATTTGTAATGAAATTTTCGATTTGAATATGGGGTAAAATTCAACAGACTTCATTTGGAAGCAAAATTCTGTGCTTGATCACATGATAAATTGTGTAACGAACCGGAAAGACTGAATGATATGTTTTCTTTATTTACCTGCCACATTGACTAGAAGTGGTCATGGCCAACTGGGCAGAAGCATAGTTTAGTAGAAAAAGATAACAAAATTGTCGAAATTGGGCAAAAGATTTTGGATGTTATAGCAGTGTGACACCTTTGTTAGAGCGAAAGTCACAACCAACATCGCTTGCGTTGATTAGGTTTGATCGGCTCAACGTACCGACGGCGTTGGTCCACGATGGTAGGTCCATCACTCGGGGCACATCATACTCATGACTGCCAGCGATGGAATACGGTGATCCGGGTGGGGCTGTTGCTGTAGCGGAAACCGGCCAGTAAGCCAGCTGAGTATGAACAGGTCGCAAGTTTGTTAAGCAAGGGGACACAGTGACGTCTGAATGAATCATTGGATGCAGTGATGTGCTTGGACGAATTAAAGGGGTTGATACCAGGTGAGCTAGGCTGGAGGGGATTTCATCCGTACCGGAACTGGATGAAGTCTGAGCAGAAGGATGAACAGAAGATTGTAAATAATGATTGGGGAGGTTGGAAAGGTGAGTAAATTGAGGGGATATCGCGTTGCGGGAATCAATTCCAGTGAAAATTAATTGTGGATATGGATGCTGCGCTGACGTCTGCCCATTGTCTTTATACGCCAAATCTGACCCATTTTGTGTTGAAGAGCATTGCGTTTTTTCTGTTCTCATGATTTCTGCACGCGACATTGTGCCTGGCTGGTAGACAACTTTAGCGTCAGTAGCATTGATGGAACTGGCACTAGATGACAGACGGAATATGGTATGTGGGCGCAAAGCGCTTAGACATCGAGCACCGATGAACAGAAGAATGAGTGTAGCCAAAAATGTGCCTCCGACAGCAAGAGCCATTTGTACAAGGGAAAATTGAGGCTGAAGTAGATAATGTGGTTCTGTGAACAACAAATCTTCTCTCATACTTGACCCCTTTGGCTTCGGAGGTACAGAGATGGGTGATTTGCCCTGAAATATGAACTCTGATTTGATCGGTGCTGTAGTATCCCGAAATTCGGCGGCATCTTCTTCATGCGTAGATGATCTTGGAAGTGGTCCCCGAACTGTAACGACCACTTCTTGGGGATCTTGGACAGTGTTCCGTGTCGTACACTTATACTGACGTGCCTCATTACTCAACGTTACATTAAGTCGTACGGTGGAAGACGGGAAGGTTTGATTTTCAGTGGAAGGGTCAAGAGTGGGTTGTGCTTCACTTGGCAGACGCCTAATCTCTCTGAGATGACCACTCTCGACATACTGCCAAGCAACCTCTGGAGGTGTATTGCTGAGCAGCGTCGCAGTAGCTAATCGGCCCGGTTTTACAACGCTGGAATGTAGTGTGCGCGGAATGGCGACCGCAGTGCAGTCCAGTATCACACGACTTGCAGCGTCGGTGACGCTTACCTCGATATGTTGTATTCTGGAACTCGGACATAGGTGATCTACGCTCAGACGACGTAGCTCCAACAGGGTTTTCGCGCCACTAGAACTATGGCGGTACACACAAGTCATGTTTAGTCCAGGCAAACTGTTGGCCCACTCCTCGCTCAAAGCAGCAATCCATGCTAGGTTGCATACACACTCCAATGGGTTGGCAGTCAAATCAAGCAAATAAGTTTGGCCGTTGAAATGCTTGGAAAATCCTTCGTCCAAATGGGTAATACGGTTGTCTGACAGAATGAGTCTATGCAGATTGTTCACTTTGGAGAACATACTGTAACGAACAAAATATAAGTTATTTCCTCTAAGATTGATTTGATCTGCCGTTAGCCCATCAAATGCGTCGTCTGAAATCTGAAGACCATGACTAGCTGTAAGGTTATGCTGTTCTTGTAAGTAAAGGTTGATCAGTTGAAGTCCGAAGAAGGTGTATGTGTCCAGTTGTCTTAAGGCATTCCGTGACAAATCCAAATGCTTCAACTTAGTCATTCCCAAAAAGGTCTTGCTCTCGATCGCTTGCAAATTACAATAAATGATGCTCATATGTTCCAAATTTTCCAGGCCAGTCATGTTTGCTCGAGTTAGGATGCTCGGAGCAGGAAAACTACCTTCTTGTATGTAAAGCTTGTTCACACCTCGAGGTAGGTTTGTAGGAACACCCTGTAAGCGGTCCTGACGATTGCAGTCAACCACTGCCTCACCTGAAGGACAATGACAATGCATTTCGCACAGTCCCAGTTGGACAAACTGTGGCTTGCTAGTGCGGATTCGGAGTGCAACCAACAACCAGACGCCGACAAGCACGTTCAAACAAGCGGATGGCATGTTGTCTCGCTGCCGGTTTTCGGTTGTGTCCTGATTCCCAGACTACCACAAAAGCACGCAAAGTTCCAGCGATGAGGCAGCACGTGTGTATGCGTTTTCGTCGTCACCAACCCGATTAAACTAGTTGGAAACTGGGACACCGCACCTGATAAATGAAGATAAATTGGAAAAAGTGAGAACCAGCCTGTGTTTGGCGGAGAAGAAACGAAAGACAGTTTAAGGTTCTGTTGGACAGAATGGAATATAACTAACACGAACTAGTGAGCTATTGCCAGAATAAATAAATCACTCTCTGAATTAAGTTAGGAAATCCATTCTTTAACGATTACTATTCAGTCACTTGATAAAGCACGGTGTGCCTGCAACTAGCAGCCAGAAATAAAAAAAAACCAGACCCGTGTAAGAAGTTCCACACCAAAGAACATGGTAAGTTATGCCAACGTTTTCACGGAGATCACGAAGACAAAAGAGCAATCCGGTTTCTTAGTCAAAAGTTCCATTGGTTCCTTGAAGCACCGCCAAAAGTCCACTGCAGTTGCTTGATGACAGCAAGCATCAGTTGTTGGTTGGGGATATCAAACAAAATTATGAGGCACGCAGATATTGTTCCGGTGCAATCGTCAATGTTGTCAGTGCTGGATAGAACTTCGTTATTGACTTCATAGGCAATTAGTATAACTCAGTTAATGTAAACCATTGAATGCATCGGACTGCCTGGGTGAAAGCACTTCGGGGACACAACCGAGACCTAGTCGATTAAAAACAATTTCTCACTGTCAAGTGGCGTGGACTGGTATCGAGATACGTTCGCCGAATCGAGATGCGTTTTAAGTAAATGAGCATTCTAACAAGGCTATAACCTGTGGAGCTCCATGAAGGAATGCTTAGTTTTTTACTAAAGACGTTATTTTATTGCCAAATTACTTTGAGTATGAGTATAAAAGCTTTCAAATATGGCATTTCTATCGCTCCGAGTTCAGCTCAGAGAGAAATTTCATGCTTAAGGCTACGCAGTTAAAGATGTGTCGTTAGCATTGGAGAAGCTGATCTTGTCATGACGGAATTTGTCCGGTCAACTGAAAAGCATATACAGCCCCCTTCAATCATGTAGAATTAAATTGCATGAGACTATAAACGAAGATAACAACCGGTTTTTCTCTCGGCAGAATAGTTGTTGCTTGAAGCTTCCGATGGGGAAGCAGAAAAAATGACTGACATCATTTACAAACAGATTATTACCCTCTCTATATATTTACGATCTTTCTACTGGAGCAAAACGTGCACATTTATTACATGCGGCATTCTGTAAGAACCAACCATATTCTAAATATACATCCCAACTATATTCCAGCTATACAATAATCAAACACGCTTGACACTAGTAACTTATGCAAAAGAAATCGATAACTTTAAACTGAATAACGTAATCATCCCAGCTTTCCGGCGGACAGCCTGAGATGTTTACTAGGCAAAAATGAGGATTAAAATTCGTGTTCAGGGAATAATGGACTGAACGGGGGCCCAGAATAGCAACAAAGATTCATTTGTGAACCTGGAAAGTGCATGCAAACTTCCTCAAATTTTTCGCACAAGATGCGGTGTGCGAGATGCCAGATAGAAAGATGTGGATACACAAGATCAATTATTTGACAACAATGGCCAACTAACTTCACTTGAAGCGGGTATGCTCCTCTCGTTGCATTTGGACCAAAAGTGAGACTGAGAATCAAACCTTGAACGAACTTCACACGTTTGAAACGAACACCAACACACCTAGTAATCTTTTAGATGCTGTCGACGAACACATTTCAGAGCAGTAATAAAAGTTATCTGCATTCGCTGAAAGCATTGTGTCGGAGGTTCTTTCTGATAATTGAAAGGTAGTATAGCCAATCCAATGAAGACACTGGGGGGCCGGAAAACGCACAATTTGGGTGTTAGGTTTTTTCCCTAAAAAAGCTGGCACTTCTGTGAACTTGCAGTGTCAGAGGGGTCCTAAGACGGCAGCACTTGTTTAATTTAATTGATCTGTTAAAAGAGATGCCCAATGGAGAAGGCTGTTACTGACCAACTGTGTATGGGTGAAATTTCTGTCGATGATACCTTGCGCTCCTGTGCATACCAAAATATGGAGCAGTTAATAATCCAATTAAGCCCACTTATTCTTACTTACTTAATTTCTTACTTACTATCAAGACAAGAAGCGTCACGGACACTAAACGTCCTTGGTTGTTGTTGTGATCAGTTACCGGATATCTGCAAAATAGTCTCTTATGAGATTGTTTGAGTGAATGGTGTTACAGCACTACAAAGACAGTCTTGAATAACAAAATCCAGGCAAACAGGACAAGCTTTATCATTCAGCGTGCGCTCTATCTTATAGAGACAACATTGGGCAAACGTTTAAGGATTTTGCCTGAATGTTCCCCTTTAAAAGGTTTAGGCCCTATGAGTTGTTTCCGAAAGCTGGTACCTCGTCTGTACCGGCGAGCTGCATTTCGGTTGGGGGGAGGGGGGCTTAAGCAACCAGGTACCTATATTTGCCTGCATTTCCGTTGAGTACAGAAAAAATGTTCTCTCCGCTTTATTTTTTCGATGCTTTGAAACAGCAGTGTAAGCTGTGCCTTAATTTTGTGTACTAATGACATTTAAGGAATCCCTTTTAGCCCTACCGACATAACCAATATTCGACCGAGCTCAATATTCATTTTTGTTCTCAAGTTTGTTCACAACGTTTCGGGAACTAATGAAAGCTTTTTAGGTACCATTCTTGAGGTTACAAAATCAAAATTGTTGATTTCGATAAAAAGGTATTACTAGCGAGACGGTTTCAAAGCTCAATATGTCAAAAATTCAACCAGTCAGTTCGGTCAACAAAAAATCACGATTACTTAAGTCGTTTCTCGGAATTCGCTACGGGTTCCTGCCGGAAATTCAGTAAAAACTAAATCAAGAGCATAACACTTTTTTCTCCAGTCAGGCTGTCGCCCTTGTATCTCTGCACGTTGTTAGCAGACGACAAAGGAGTGGGTACCAAAAAAGCCCATACAGCTCCTTCATCTTTACTGGGGATCGCCAGCAGTGTACTTCTCTAGATTTTGGAATCTGTTACCTCCCAGTTGGTAGTTTGACCATGAGCAGTCACGGCTGATCAGCAGTCACATCAACCCATACATAGGACTTGGAACCATTCATCCTTCAGTCACGGAATTCACATCACACGGCCACATGTGTTTAATGGCCCCCCGAGTGACGACGTTCCAGATGGAAAATCCATTCATCGGGTGATTCATGTTCTTCCTCTAAGCCACTTATAGAATGTTGGTACTGTAAAGAGATTCCCTATACAAAAACCGGGCTCGAAAATTCGTAATGGAATTTCTGCGTTGTATGTTTAAAGAATGAATTCTATCGGTTTGTCTCAATGAGCCTTATGTTGGTCATCTGATCCTATACACTTCTATTTCGTAACTCTCTTCCAATTTGACCGGCTTAGAAATAAGTTGTCACCACCAGAATGCTGATCTCAACGAATACACAAAGCGCTGCGGAATGATTGAGCTAGCCGGTCCTTATGCATCTACACGTAAAGCTGAAACGTCTGCAAATACCTCCCCAAAGTGAGTCGTTCACTAACACGAAACTGAGTTTCGTTTTGTGGCAAAACTCATCAGCTTTTCTTCTGATGAATTTTGTGGGTTAGGTAGCCCGTGTGTGAATGAGACATGAATAGACCCATACAATTATACATGCATATATACACGCACACACAACAGAGCACAAATGCAGACAGAGAGAGTTGTTCTGCTAATTGTTCCTCGTTCATTCGGGTACACAAATCCCAGGGTTGAAGGAAATTTATCAGAAAAACCTCTTGGTTGTACGCGACGACTTCAGCATCTTATTCAATGGGCCTAACAGCTTCCAAGCTGAAAGGAAAGCTTTACCGGTCGTAAATTATGTAATTCCCGGGAAAAAAAACTGAAAACGGGATGGAAAGCATTGCGATTTCAACGTCGGGAATAAAAAGGCGATCATGTGCAAACCTTCCTTGTAGATCAAGGCAACCTAAATTGTGACCCTCTACAGTGGTTAGAACTGCGCCTTGAAATACCAGAGCCTTCGAAACTCCACACTATCTCCGTTGAGAGATAATTAATATAGGCTTTCGAGTTTTGGCAAGACGCTTTCCTCATGCAAGGTGGAAAATGTTCGCCGAGATAAATTTAATATTTAGTTATCCATTTACTCAACCAATTTGACAGAGTTTTCGGATGTCGAAGAGTAAGGATAGGTATCGTTACTTACACAGGTTAATATTCAGTCAAATAATTAACCTAAAAGAAACAAGCGCTATCTTACATACTCTCTCCAATCTGCATCAGGCGGAAGGTTTGCAACATTTTTAACCTAAATCTTGGTAAATTGAAGAATATATTACACTTTAGTAGAAATTAGGCAAGTTTTACCTTTTGTTAAGTTCTTAAATCGCCATATCTATGCGTTCTAGTATGCTTCGCAAAATTAGCAGATTTGGTTGTGGGTGGGAGAATACTGGGGGCACAAATGGCCTAGCTCTGTGCCCGCGCATTTCTACGAACACACTAGGGGGGGGGTGTCATCATAGGGGAAGCCGAAGACAGGGGAATTACTTAAAAATGATGACTTGAATTTGCACTTTCGAAATGAAAATGAAACCTCCGAGGTGGGAGATACTCGCACTTTCTTCAGGTGTGTCTAACGATATTCGAAAACTCTCCCTGACATTTTGCATCCAAGGTTGCTTCTCTAGCAAAAAAAAACGTACATAAGTGGGGGAAACTTTGAAATTCTGTATTACGTCGGTCTTATACCATTAATCTGTTTGTTCGGTGTGCTGTGGGACTTTTTGGATGCATGGATTTCGGGAGGAGACGAACAAGTATGAGCCACCCGAGAGGGCTCAAATTAACTGCCCGCCACTTCGACTTAACTACTTCCGTAAGTTTTTTTCAGGCGTA